GGACCTGTATTGACCCGGTGGACTCGGTTTTGATCGAAAATGACGGTTTTGACCCGAAACGGCCCGGAACTCATTTTTCATCCCGGTCAACATCGTTTAACCCGTATTGACCTGGTGGACTCGATTTTGGTAGAAAGATGCAGTTGACTCGAGAAAATATATTTTAAACTTTTTTTTTCCTTTTTTTCCTTTTTTTATATTTATTATATTTTTTTTCATGAATAATAAGATAAAATAACATTCAAAAAATTTTAGTGAATCCGAAATTGGGTTACAACAAATGGCATCTTTTATCCACTCTCCTTCTCGGGTAACTCCTCCTAATCACGAACCTTTTACCCATTTTGACAAAAACATGTATGAGTTTTGGCAGCATGCTACGGAGGCTGAAATTTAGGTTTTACTTTACAATGGTAATTGGTACTTAGTTCCTTTTCATCCTTTAATAAATGTGATTGGTAGCTGTTGGGTATACGATATTAAATGTCGTGTTGATGGTAGGATCGAGCGCTATAAAGCTCACTTAATTACTAGGGGTTTTACTCATAAAAAAAGTATTGATGATTAAAAAACCTTTAGTCTTATGGTTAAGTTGGTTTTTATTATTATTGTTTCTCGAAATTAGAGGATTAATCAACTTGATATCCATAATATTTTTCTTAATAGGACACTTCACGAAGAAGTGCACATGTAGCAATCTCCAGGGCTTGTTGATCCTATTCTTTCCCCTCATATATCTCAACTACATAAGTGTTTATATAGCTTGAAACAAGCTCCTCAAGCCTAGTATACTCAATCAGTTCTCGTGCTTCTAAGATTGATACCTTTTTATTTATTTTGTCTATAGATAATGATATTTGTTAACTTCTTATTTATATCAATATTCTACTAATGGGAAACAATTCAGTCTTGCTTAACTGATTGATTTAGTTGCTAAGCTTAGTGTTCAAGCTTTAGGATTTAGGGGCTGCTCATTATTTTATAGGGATTGAGGTTAAACCTACTAGTATAGGTATCATGCTACAATAACATAAGTATATTCTTGACATATTTCGCAGAAAAGGTATGTCTTCCTACAAACAAGTCAATACTCCTATGTCTACCTCTAATGTAAGTATGTTGACCGATTGTATGTTTTTTAATCCTATATGGTTTCATCAAATTATTGGTACTCTTTAATATCTCATTTTTAAAAAACCAAATATATATTTCGCTATGAACAAGGTAAGTTTATACATGTTCTTACTGATGCACATTGGGCTGCCGTTAAACACATTTTTCTTTATCTTAAGGGTATAATTTCTTATGGTTTGTATATTACTCGTGGCTCATCCTTTTCTCTTTATAATTTTACATATGCTAATTGGGCTATTACTGTTGATGATTGTAAATGTTCGAATGCTTTTCTTGTGTATCTCAACAATACACTTATTTCTTAAAAATCAAGCAAACAATAACGATTACTCTATCTTTTATTGAGGTTAAGTATAAGGCTCTAGTTGACGAGACTTCCAAAATCTTATGACTCCAGTATTTATTAATAGATTTTCAAATTACTCCTACTTTTGTGTTTATCATTTGGTGTGATAATTTGGGTGTCACTTACTTGTCTAAAAATCTCATATTCCATGCTTACATTAAACATGTGGAGGTTTATTATCATTTTATATGTGATAGAGTAGCAAATAAAGAAATTTAGATGCGTTTTATTTCATCCTAGGATCAACTTGTAGATGTTATTACCGAGCCACTTCTCATTGCAATCTTTACTCATCTTCAGTTCAAGCTTTAAGTTGAGACTCCATTCTCAGCTTAAGGGGGCTTATTATAAGAAATGATTATTTATAGGGAGTGTATTATAATAATAATAATATTTACTATATGTATAGATTGAAACTTGTATTGTAATCAAAGTTGTTAAAATTATGAGTTAACTCGTAAAATCATATTTGCAAGTAACTTGTATTACGATTTTACGAGTCAACATGTATCTAACATGCTAAATTAGACTAAGAGCTCGAAACCAGTAAAATCAAACTTAACTCATGCAAAATTGGTAAAATAGGTAAACTCGGTCCGATTTTACGAGTTTACTAAGTTGTGATATAAACCAAGTCAGGTCTAAATTTAGCCTTAAAATATCTACTGACTAGTTTTGTGAGATTAAGTATATCTTTCAAACCATATATTGGATAAAGCTGAAATTTTACAGGAAAATATTAGATACATCAAAATATATTGTGGTAAATTTTCAAGTTAAATGGAGTTAGGAAACATAATAGTTCAGATGGTCAAATTTAGTAAACTAATATTGTCACATATGTCAAACAATACATTCGTGTACTATTTGAGAATGTCTAGAGCTACTAGTGGATTTTTTCTTCGAGTAAAGTTGGGATAGAAACTAGACATCTGAAACTTTCCAACAATATATTCTAGGCCTAAAAATTCATCCAAACAAGAGGGAATGATATGTTTGAAATCATGAGAGAATGACATGTTTGAAATCAAGACTCAACTCTGCCAAGAATATACAAAAATTAGAGATTCAGGCTACATATAGGAATTATAACATGAAGACTTTTTATTATTCTATTTTATTTATTTATTTTTAAATAATTATTTTTAATTTTAATTTTTTCTAATGCGTTATACATTGTTTAGGGATTTATTTTATTATTGAATTTATGTTAACTAGTTGATTGCTAATTTAAATTTATTAGTTTACAACATAAAAAGGGTCTATCAAGACTTATTGTGATTGGAATAACCAGGTTATCACTAGGTTTATGTGTATTTCCTACCTTTCAATTATTCCCTTATATTAAAAAATTTTATTCTAAGATTTTTTATATCTCTATGTTATTAATTTATTAATTCATACTATATATCTCTATCATTTTATTTAGATCACTCATTGATTATAATATTGTTGACTTATTTTATCATATTTTAATGTAATTTAATTTCTTGATTAGAATTATCAATATAAAATTAGTTAAAAAAATTACTTGCAATTTTAAAATTTTACAATCCGAGTTTATATTGTATTTTTCGCGTAGTGTCAAAATATTTTTTTTGACAACTTTGATTGTAATCTCTGCATTAACTATTGCATATTACCCTATATATTATATATATATATATATATATATATATATATAAATAGGAAATGGTGGCTACTTAATTGATTAAATCTCCTATTGTTCTCAACTTGTTTTTCATTAAAAAATATAATAATAGAAGCATTGTTCTTCCTAAACATCAGATGAGAAGAATGAACGATGAGTTACTATAAACTCAAGCTTCATATTCTTTTTTACACGGTAAAAGAATTAAGTTCATTCATGTTTTGACCACTCAAGGTCACGACAATTACCTGTGGGTTTAGTGTTTATTGTAAATGTAGTAGATGTTATTTTTTGAAGTATTTTTTATTTAGAAATATATTAAAAAATATATAATTTTTATTTTTTAAAATTTATTTTTGATATTAGTATATTAAAACAATCCAAAAATACAAAAAAAAAATTAAAACAAAAAAATAAAATATTTCAAAAACATGATTAACCGCAATCTCAAACTCCACTTTGCATGCAAAAACGTATTACAAACTTAAATTTAGGCTCCCTCAATGTTTTCTTTCCATGTACATCCATTTAAATATATAACTATTATATTGCAAAAAGTACAAACCTTGGAACGTAAAGTGTTACCGTGTTAATCATATCTTTTGTCTATCAAACATCATGCATAAGCTAATTCTAGTTTTGATGAAGCCATCATACACAAATCATCTCCAAGAGTCATTTTTTTTTAACATTCCTCCATATAGAGCTTTCAAATGTCAACCATCAATTTCTATTAAAGGTTTATAACTATTTACAAAGCCATCCTTTATGACTTTCAAGAAAATATAGATTCTTTGAAACTTATTAGGTAAATGCACATCAACATTAAAATTAGGGTCAAACCATAAAAAAGCATTAGAGCTAAGGTTAAACTCTTTTGATAACTAAACATGTCTTGGACATTAGAACTATGATTAAACTCTTTTAATAGCTAAAATATCTTGGCAGCGTCTTGTAAGACTCCTAATAATTGTCTTCTACAAATTCCCTAGCTTTCGTTCTAACTCTCCACAACTGCATTGGATACGACTTTATTCCAAACTTATCATCTAAAAGAACATCAAGAGCTTAATTGGATATGTTAGGGTCACCATTTATTATAGGCAGTAGTTTTTAGCCACCCATGTTGAGTTAGTTGTAATGACCTAATACAACCATGTCTACCTCTCAATAATTTAATCATAAAAGCTTTGCTACTAGGTAACAAAGAAGCATAAACCCTCAATGTGTAGCCAATGTCTAAACAAAATGCACTCACTTTATTTTTTTAGTTTAATAGTTCTTTTAGATTTATAACCATAACTTCATATTCCCTCAACATATCCCTAAAATGATAAACATTAATGAACATTTTACATTATTAAAAATCAAGGAACCATCAACCAAAAACCTCAATCTTTTATATTAAAACTCCAAACGTTGGATCTACATTCTTTTCTTGTCCATACAAGTTTCATCCTCATTATTGTTAGATTTATGACTCAGAGGCATGATTTAATGTTTTTTTTTCCATTATAAAATTACTATTAATATTGTCAATCCATTCATCCTCATCTTCATTCACAAATTCAAACCACTTCTAGTGTAATGGAATATAATCATCATTCATACTATAAATATCACCATCAAACTCATTTCCTTCAACAAGATGCTTAAAACCATCATTACTAAGATCTTCTTTGACACCAACACTACCAATATCATCATCATCTTTACTCATTGCATATACACTAACTAATAGAAATATTCTATTGCTACTATTAGCATCATCATTATAAGCAAGAAAATACTTAATCCTTAAATACATACCTTTATGAGGTTCACTTGAGTAGTATTGAGGTCTACATTTTGGAGCTGTATCAACGAACAAGAAAATTTGTTTTTCATGTTCATGTTCATGTTCATGTTCATGCAAAAACAACATCTTCAATGTGGAAGCATCATCAAAAACTTTATTGCCTTTTCCATCTCGAATTTGAAATTCCTTCGATCTATTATCTTTATTGCCTTCTCTATGTGGACTTTGAGATTCCATCGATCCATTATCTTGAACTTCATTGCCTTCTGTATCTGGACTTTGAGATTCCTTCAATTTTTCAATGACAACTTCCTCGCAGATGAAAAATATGTCTATATATGATATATAGTTAGCGCCATATTGAATTTCTTTGCGGAACTCATTGTCAAGGTTCACTTTGAAATTTAGCTCTTTGTATCCTACAAAAAATTAATTAAATATTAGATAAAGATCAAACAAAGCTTAAATAAAGTTAACTGCAAATTGAAAAAAAAATTAAGGTTAAGGTTCTTCTACGAAATTTTTTTAGGGTTTTGAAAATTTGGCATTTTTCCTCCTGCATTAATTAATTAAATATTAGATAAAGGTTAAAGAATGATTAAATAAAGTTAATTACATTAAAAAAAATAAGGTTTCTATGAACAATAACTCATATTTTCAGGATTTTGAAAGGAGAAAAAAACAATAGTAATTCATTTATAGATGCCAAAAGGTCTTAGATATTCTAAATATTGATGATTTAACAAAAAACAAATTAGGATTTTTATGGTTTGCGGTTGACGGGATCATTGTACAAAAATAAGGTTTCTTTTGGAAAATTCTAAATAGAGGTTTAGTTTAGGATTCAACACTATCGATATTAAAAAAAAATGTACTTATTATGAATTTTGATATGTTGATTTGTAAAAAATATTGTTAAGGTTGAATCTCATACCTTATTTTTTATGACTTCCAAAAGAGAAGAGAGACAAATGAATTACAAAGGGAAGATTTCTGTTCAATTTGTGTTTGTAAGAAGGGGAGAATAAGTAGTGCAGAGGGAAAGTAAATAATTAACGTTCGTGCACTTTAATGGGCTGATTTGTTATCTGGGTTGTTGGGGTAAATGGTAGAATATTTTTATCTTTTCATTAAAATTTAAATTTTATGTTGATCCTGAATGTAAAATATAATTTATTGAAAAATAAAAGTAGAGTGTTACCGTGCTCATTATTCAGAAATGAAAAACATCCTTCTTTTAAGAGTAGCAGGTGGCACCACCAATCGAATGTGTTGAAAGAAAACATGCTATGAAAGAAAATAAGGGTTGTGGCCATGGGTATTGAGATACAAGAATCACAAATGGCATAGAATGAGCCACGAAAACAATGGTTTATTAACTGGCAAGCCCAGAAAATCTAAGTCAAAAAATCAAAGACAATCTATTTAATAAAATAGAACTTCAAAGCTTAGGTTGAGAGCATGTATAAACAAGAAGACCTCAAAGAAAACCAACGCTGAAACAATATTAAAGAGGTCGAATATGCATAGACCAATGCTAAAACTGGAACGAACACGCCCAGAAATCTTAGGAACTAGTCTGCAACAACACCAAACCAAGTAAAGAAAGGTCGAACCAAAAGACCCAATACAGTTTGTACATAATTTGGTTGAACTAGAAAACTAGGAGAAATAACAAAGGAGCGTGAATCACACTCACGTAAGAGTAGGCGATGTTACAGAAGATGTTTATGGAGATAGATCCAATGACAATGAAACTTCGTCGGAAATAACGAGAAATCCGACGGTCTAGGAATTATTGATAAAAAATTGAAATTTGGGATACCAAAGAGTGACAGCGATGTAGACAATTGATGAAATAAATAAAAAAGGAACACTTAAAGCTTGCTTAAGCTGGAAAAAACCCAGGACATAGGAGGGGGCTCTGATACCGAGATAAAATATGAAACAATTGAAACCTATACCTAAATAAGAAATAGAATCATATTTAATCTCTAAATAGGGAGGCTATCTCTAGATATGAAGGATCTTAGATTGAGTCTCAAGTCAATCCTATAATTGTTAGGAAATTATTGAAATATAATCTAACATGCTTCTAAAATACATCTATTTAGCATTGTTGTTGTTGACAGCAGGAAATTTCGTCCTTCCACGAATTACTTTTGACACTTACTAAGGAGGATATTGTTGCATGAGCAGTATCGTTATTGTTTCTAAAGCTTTAAACCCTGGTTGCTTGTGTTTAAAACCACAATGCCCAGGCAGCATCGGTCAGAGCAATATTATTATCAATATAATAGTTGAATTACTTGATGATTTAGGGCTGTCCAAGATAGCAAAATAGTTTCAATTTTCAGTACCTTCTTCACTCTTGCTCTGGTCACCATTTGCGGAGGAATGGCCTGCAAAAATCTCACAACTTGGGGGTCAAATCAAACCTTCCGGGATTTAAAGCAATACAATGTGTAACAATGCTTTGAACCCTGGTTGCTTGGGTTTAAAACCACAAGACCCAGGGAGCATCGGTCAGTGCAATATTATTATCAATATAATAGTTGAATTACTTGATGATTTAGGGCTGTCCAAGATAGCAAAATAGTTTCAATTTTCAGTACCTTTTTTACTCTTGCTCTGGTCAACATCACCATTTGATGCGGAAAGGCCTGGAAAAAACTCTCAACTTAAGTCTAATCAAACCTTGTAGGATTTAAAGCAATACAATTTTACATGGCTCCCGAAAAACAATAAAACCCGAAAATCGTGTTTAATTAATCGGTTAAACAGCTTTCCTTGAGAGCAGATGCTCGAATTAACGGGGTTTAGCTTATTAATGCTTATCAAATAAAATAAATGAATGAAAAAGAAAATGTTGCATCTAACATACAATAGTATATCAGGTTCCTAATGGAATATTTGGGCATTGCGCATCCACTCTTGAAAGCACGAGGCATCTCAGCAAGGAGATGAAGACAGGTCCTGCCCTGTTCGTCCTTCATATCATCAAGTGATGGATCCCGTTTCAGCAACGTCAGAGCAGTTTCTGCATTGACAGTATAATGTCATTTGATTTGTTTCTAATCAATTATAAATTTATGTTGTATCTAATCTTAGATGTTTAGGGATGAATGTGCGTGCAGTCGGAGTGTCTATAGATGTCTTGAGAATTTCATATGAGAGGGAATAAGATTAAGAACAATACCAAAGTGATGTCCTTCGATAGCAGCATGAAGAATCGGCTTTAAATCTACTTTCCTGGAGTTATTATTCTTTTCTTTATCTAAATTTCCTCTCCTGCGGTGCTCTTCTAATAGCTTTCCCTTGTAGATTTGCTTCATTTTTATAACTAAATACTCCACTATTTCTTTCTTACCACATGAAGCAGCTCTATACAATGGAGTCTCCCCAAGCGCGTTTTTAGTCTCCAGTTGCTTTGAAGTATCACACTGTTGATTAGGGTTAAACTGGAGCAAGAGCTCTACAGCTTTCATATTTCCAGTAAAAACAGCTTCATGAAGAACAGTGTTTCCATACGCATTCTTTAATGTACAGGGACTCCAGGGAATTGATTTTTTAGCAACAATATTAAGTAGACTTTTAAGCGGTTCATCCTTTCTGCTATACACTGCCAAGTGAAATGCAGTATCTTTTAAAACCGTTATTGGAGCCATCACGTACTTATCATGTGGTCCATTGTAAGCTGTTTTCATCGAATTCCAGTCTCCTTCCGAGGCTGCTTCGTAGACTTTCTTCATAAAAAATGGAGGTGTACCCATTTAGCCTTCTCTTCTTTGTCTATCTTAAAGTTCTCTGCAATTGCAGTAATAATCACGAGCGAACTCTTAATGGTACGTAAGTTCCAGAAAAAAGATGCTCTTAATTAAATACATCAAGTAAACAATATATATTAGAAGATTGATTGATACGGATAGCTAGCTAGAACTTCGCTCCCAAGACGTACGGAACCTTGTGGATTAACATGACAACCAATCATCTAGGGGGGGGCTTGCGTTTTAGAAAAGAAAGGGAAATCAATAGATTTGATTTTCTATTAGAGGAGACTTTGTTTAACCAAAAGTGTGTTATTCAATGCCTCGGTTAAAACATAAAATTATATTGACTTTATGCTTAACTGAATGTTTCAAGATTTAATAACAATCAATTAATCCATTCATTAAGTACTCTATGAACCTTTTAACCAAGAACTGATATCTAAGTCTACCTCACTTCTTAAAAAGAAAGATACAAAACAAAATGAAATTCTTAAAAAGAATTTATTATTTCCTAAAAAAATTAGGCTAAACCAATTTTTAACCGAATACACTAATATCAAAATCAAACCAACATCTACCTTTCTTTTACACAAAAAGACTGAACCTTGAAAAAAAATCAAGTTTTGAACATGGAGATTGAGGAGGGCAAGTTCTTAAATTTTATTTATTGTAATGATGGTATGTTTAGGTAAATACCTTGGAGCAGATGAGTGAGCAGTTGGCAATGGGAGAGAAGAGGTTTAGTGGAGGAGAAGAGATGGGGAACGGATATAAATAAAAGAAACCGGGCAGGACTTGATTAACAAAATTCCCATTTAGTTTTCTTATATTACAATAATTCCATTAGCGTCCATTCTTTGTTTTCAAGTTTCAACATTCAGGACATGCCAGGTTTCAGCAAAGGCAAAAAACGACTGCTAATTAACAGGAAAAATAATAATCACAAGAGCCAGCATTAACTCACATCGGACCCCACCAAAGTCATGACTTGAGACAAATCTTGATCACTTTATAACCTTGTTTGAGTTCTCTTGGCAACCAATGTTTTAATTCGATCTCTTGTTTATTATATAAATCTTTTTAAGAGTAGTTGGCCAGTGGTTTTGTTTTTTTCAACTTGTTTTGTTTTCAAACAAAGTAATTAAAGTCACTATATAAATGTTTTCGTAAGAATTTTAATACTACATTATTTATTTTTTAGCAGTGGAATGTGATTCTCTTTAAAGATATATTGGGTTCCACTTAGAAAAAATAAAAGACAAAAGTGCATTTTTAGACAACATGTTTTATTTAAAAAATAAAAATAACTTCAAAAAAATTTTAAATCATAAAAATATCAATAGTGCACATAAAGGTCTTAATTAGATTATGTGTTATTTATATATATAAAAAAAATATTTTGATAAAGGTCTTAATTAGATTTTGTATTATTTATATTGAAAAAGGATATTTTGATTTTTGTTTCTTTTTTATTTAACTTATATTACTTCAAAAATTAATTCAATTTACTAATAAAAATATTCATGTTTTCAATAATTTATTTTAATTTCTAAAAAAGTATTTGAATTTAAAATGTTAGATCTCGTATGCATAAAAGTTGATTATGATCTAGCAATACAATACAACTAAACAACCATTACAATAGCCAAAAAAACTTATAAGTTTTTTTAAGAAAAATAAATTGTGTTAAGAAGGGTAGAGAAGTGGAGGTGAGGGATAAGAAAAGTTTGATCCTTAGCCTCTTTTTTCTTTTGATAAATAGGAAGGGGAAATGAAGGAGATTAAATTTGTTTTGATTATAGTTGTTTTTAAAATATTTTTATTTGGAAATATATTAAATTAATAATTTTTTAATTTTAAAAAATTATTTTTGATATCAATACATTAAAATTATTTAAAAATATAAAAATATTAATTTAAAATAAAAAAATTAAAAAATATATATATTTTTTAAATTATTTTTAAAATACAAAAATAAACAAATTTAAAATCAACATGCCTGCATTCCCATACGAAAAATCAACTATTAGGGATGGGGGGCCATCTTAACCACTATAATCCTCTAATAATAGATCAAGGCCCGTTGACCCTCACCTACCAAGAGACAAACAGTACAAGAATAAATGTTCACACGTGTTAAACACATACTTGAGGGTCTAGCTCAGTGGTTAACTGCAAGGCTTACTTTACGACTGTCCTGAGTTTGATCCTCTATGTATACCAACCTGTCATCCCCGCAGTGTCTTACATGTCTACTGGGTTTGCAGGATGTTCAGCAGGTCCGGAGATTAGTTGTGGTGCACATAAGTTGGTCCGGACATCCCGAGTTATCAAAAAAAAAAACAAAGAAAGAAAGAAACATCTCCCTACGAATTAAGGACAAAAACCACACCTTTTCAGAAGTAGCTTTATAGAATCCTAACATATCTTTATTATTGAAGATACAGCAGATATACTGCAGACGTTAAGGCAGAATCAGCGATACTACAAAGGAAGAAGATATTGCAGATATTCGACCATTATGTCATTGCCTAATACAGCTTATATATTACCTTGTTTATATATGTTTGTATTATTAGTATATGATCTTAGCAAGATTCATGGGAGAAATTATGTCCAAGATTATCTTTTCTTGCTGCATAATTTCCCTGCTATATATACATGTGTACAGCAAACGAATAATTCAAGAATTCCGTTTCCGCAAATCACTGTCTCAAAATTCTTCACTTATTCGGCCACAACACTATACAAACTAATGGTAAAATACCAAAATGCTTCTCAGTAAGAATATTAGGTCATATGTGCTTTGAATCTCAAGGTATGGGATCACATATAGGGTGGGTGGCAAAAAAATTTCCTTTTCCCTAATCTTGCTTTCATACAGGACGAGACGTACCAAAAGATATATTTTTTTAGGGGAATATTTTGACTAAAATTTTGAAATAAAGTTAGTTTGTTTTCTCTAATGTCAATAAATTGAAATCGGGTGGGTGGCAAACTTTTAGGCTTCCTCATGAGCACCCTATATTGGGGGGGCAATAGCAAGACTTGATTTTTTAGAGGAATTTGTTTGACTTGGTTAACAATGTAAAAAAACTTAGTATTGAATATTTCAGTAATCACTCTGTCATATTTGTTTATTACAAAAATAAAATATTTATATTTTGACGATATAGAATGGACAAAACAAACTAACATTATTTCAAACTCTTGATACAGGTAAATAAAATAAGAAAAAAAAACTTCAAACTTCTTTTTATATCTATATATAGAGAGGGGGGGTGAAAAACATTATTGCTTAATTGGTAAATTAAATTCATAAATAGGGCACTTTCAAGGGGTTAAACTTGGAAATTTAACTTTTAGCTAGGATATCAAATAATTAAAACAAAGAGGGCCTCACGTGCTAAAATATCTATAAATAACTTCGCTATTTTGCTTCTTTTCCCATAAATACACGCGTAGGGTAATAAAATAATTAAAAAATAAACTAATAAGCTTTAATTGCTTAGTTTATTATAACAAGTGAATACTAATTTTAAGAAATTCAACAAGTAGACTAGTATTTATGCAAGTTCAATTCCTAAGCATATATATTTATACATCATAAACATGCAATCAAAATAAGAACATATAAAGATTATAGTATATATATTATGTACATATTTAAAATTAAAAGAGATTGAAATACAATCCTCGCATTCATACCAATCATATATATTATTTAAACAACACTACTTATTGAAGCACTTAATAGTTTATTAAGCTAAAAACTTTTGTTATTAAAGATAATCCATCGGTGATTTTGGCATATTACCGATTTAGTAATTGTTTGTAAATACATTGGTGATTATTGCATATTACTGGCAAAACTAGTTCTTAAGAAAATTACATAATTGAATACCAAAATCACCATCATTGAACTTTTCTCTTAAAACAACATAGTTGATCTTTCATTAAGAGTGTTTTACTATACTTCACTTGGTATACTAAGACAAGAAAATCGTTAGCACAATTCATTATTTATCACATTGTAGCTTGGACCACTTTTATCATAGGAATAGATACGAAATAATAATTTTCAAATGCCACTGATAATGTTATATGACTTTATTTTTCATTTGAACTTGGAGCTTGGAATCTCACAACAATTAGGTATAGTTACTATCATTACATCTGTTATTATCTATTTTTGGGTCCCACATAAAAAATGAGAAAATACAAAAAAAGTCAAAGAAATATATTTAGAAGAAAATAAAAAAAATAATAGCAGTGAGAAAAAAATTACAAAGTGCTTGGAAAATGGACGGAAATTGGTTGAGGAGGTTCAAAAATATAAAAATTAAAATTTGACAGTATATCGTTTACTAATGAGAGCTCTATTAACAAAGAAAATTTAATTGGAGAAAGAAAAGTCCAAAATCAAATGTTTATAGACTCTATTAAATTTTATTAAAGTTTAATTGAGTTTATGGAGGGTTTGTTAGTAAGAAAAAATGATTTTAAAGTCAATTTAGGTTTTAATTCAAAGAAATTAAAGTTCTAGGGTCAAGTTACAATCTTTCAAAGTTGATTTGGTCAAATCAAGGGCTTAATTGCATAAATATTAAAGTTTGATGTCCAATAAGAGACTTGATTAAAGAAATTCAAAACCAAGGACCAAAATGGAAAAAGCACGTAAATTGAGGACTAATTCAGAAATTGACACATTTTTCACCTTTTCTTTTAAATAAAACAATGTGTTTTTAGCAAAACAACATCATTTCATGCACAAAAAAACACGAAACAGTGCCATTTTGGATGACATTGTGCTTATTTTTCCCTTGGACACGCAGAGACAGGGGTAGAAGAAGTTTCTTTCCCTTGCAACGCCACTATCTTCCTCCCCACTTGCACAAATCCTGACATGACTCACGCCTCTCATCTGCCACCATGATAAAGATTAGATAGGGGTGCTCTGCGGGCAGCTGAGGCAACTGTACAGAGGCCGCTTGAGATGCCCTACCCTGTCTCCAGGATTGGACAGAGGTAGGGTAGCTCCCACTTCCCCTATGCTATAAATACCCCGTTCAACCAGGGGGAACAAGGGGGAAAAACGAAAAAAATAAGGGAAAGTATAGAAAGAAGAGACAAACATAGAGGAAGGAACGATTGGAGAGAAAGATTATAGAGAGAGGGGGAGATTGGCATGGAAGAGAGGGTTCGAGAGAGAAAAAAATATTATAGAGAAGACTAAAATAGAAGAGAAATGAAAGGGAAGAAAAATAAGGGAGAATAAAGGAAGATAAGGGAAGAAGAATGAAAGAAAAGGAACAAAAGATGGATGAGAAACGCAAGGGAAGAAAAACAGAGCTTCCCAGCTGCCGCCACAGCAACACCACAGTGCCACTGTCAACTCTAGTACCTTCATGATTAGTACTTAAAAGTGCATTTTTTAACAAGGTTTTATGTCATCATTTTGCACTTGAAGTATCAATAACTCCTTAACTAAAGTATGTTTTATAATAATATATCTAATAATATAAGATACCTTTAATTT